GCAAACAGGCCTAATACATTTGGTTTCCTTTAATATTCATGTCTTGAGATAGCAAGAATGTTACACAACAATCAGCCTTTAAAAATCTCACATTTTAAAGATGAGATGTCTGCACCTCTACACATATATAGGTAACCAGAGCCTGGGTGACTGCTTAGCACCTGCAAACAAGTTTCTCTTTAACGGGATGTCTGGAAAATACTGATCAAACTTCCCATAAATATTGACTTTAATGAATTCTTTTTGGTTTAATTCTTGTACAAACCAAAAATACAATGGAAAACCAGTAATCAATCATGAAGATTTTAGATGACAAGAACCATATTCTACATTTATCAAAAAATTCTGTAATAAGCGAACAGTATCCTCCCTAACAGCTAGAAAACCTTGTGTTTCTTCAGTGGTTTTTCAGAGTCTTTTTGAGGGCAACACCTCTGTGCATTTCCACATAAACATGCTTCCTATGTAATATATTCTACTGTGCATCAGTGCTAAACAGGTAATGAGATGAGACAGAAGACTCAGGCACTGCCCCAAAGTCTACCTTGTCTAAGGGGCAGAGAGCAGATCATTCACCATCACACAACATGAGTCACACAACAAATTAATCATCACATCACTATAGCTTATACTTCCCTGGTTCTTCTTGGGGGTAGCTCTGCGTCCATGCTACAGATTAGAAAAGCAGCCTGGGCAGCAACATACAGGCAGTCAAAGGGAATTGTCCTTTTGCCCAGGGGAACTTCTCTCTCCACTATCAGCACAAATAATGACCAATGTCCACAACAAAACTCCACATACTCTTTTGAGGGCTGATAAGGTCATTCTTTTCAGTCTGAAAGGTCCTGAAAGGACAGGACTGACTAGAAAGATTGGTCAGCAAATCTTGAAAATAGTGGAAATCTATTGAAAAGAAAGATAGGGAAGGTTTTGCCAATAGATCCCAATAACTTTGTGCCAAAGCTTCTACCCCTGCTCTCCCATAACATACAGTGATCTGGAAGGGCTGCAATGAGAAACAAAGCCCCTTATGGGAATTGTGTCTCAGGAAGTTGGAGGGTTGGCTGAGCACATTTGCTTCATTGCACTTCTACGTCATTAACCTATTTGTTTGTAGCTCTCACTTTCAGACTCACTGCACATAGCAATTTTGGCTTCCATATTTTCTCTTATCATTTACTGGCTCATCAGAGACAGATGCAGAGTGAGAAACGTGAGTGGAAAGCATGTCTTCATAACAGGCTGTGACACTGGACTTGGAAACTCTCTGGCTAAATGGCTTGACAAAAGGGGATTTTGCGTCATTGCTGCATGTGCCACAGAAAAAGGAAGCCAAGAGCTACGATCCTGCTCTTCACTCTCACTGAAGACAGTGAATCTGAACCTAGCAGACTCCAACAGTATTGCCAGGGCTGTGGCGCTTGTGGCCGAAGAGACAGCCGGAAAGGGTAAGTGGCAAGGCAACTTCCCAGGAAAATGATTCAATATAACAAAATCTGGTCTAATTAAAAGTTCCGTTGCCTCGACTCACTGCAGAGGCATTTTTCATCTTACTGATGAAACACATTCACTCTTCAGTTCTGTCATTTCTGAGCTCAGAGAGATTCTCATAACAATGCTTCCCCTTGCTTTCACAGAGAGCTTGCCTAAAAATCTTGTTGTTCAGTCTGTTAAAACCAGATCATTCCCAGATATGTATTTTAGACTCTTTTGGGTGAGGCTGAAGAATGTTAGTGAAAGGAAGGAAGGTGCTAAATGTTACCAGAAGGAAGTTTCTTGGCAATAAAATCAGCCCACTCAATTAAAAATGGTTGGTGCAGGGTTTCTGCAGCCCTCCTCTAGTAAGCAGGAGAGAGTATATTTTTGCATGGCTGAAAAAGTCTGACTTTTGCATTGCACACCTCAACTCCAGTGTTGTGTACAACAGCTTAAGAGTGGCAATTTCAGCCAGTTTTCTTGGAGTTGTTACATAGGCAGCTCTCACTACTGCTGTCATACACCTCTGAGCACTTGTGTAAAAAAGGAGTTTGTTCTTGGATATCTATGAGAGGAGCTAAAAAATAAGGGTTGTGTTGACATTGGCAAAGGGTGTTAAAAAGGTCTGCATGGTAAATATATTCAACTGTGACAATACACATTTCTTTATCAGCACTGAAAGCTCAGGCTAGACATTGCTAAAGGCCACCAAAGGGGATCACAGCGCTGCAAATACCCTCTGTAACACACAGTTATACCAAATATTCAATAGGCTTATTGATCGAACTACCTAAACCAGCAAAACATATACCTTCTACCAGTAGGACTTTTTCATCAAAGTTTGTAAAACACTGTTGGCCTCATCACAAGTGTTCCAGACCATTCTTGAATTAAGAGATTGAGAGGAAGTTAAACAAAATTATTAGCACTTACCTCATCCAGCAGGCTCCTGCTTGCAGTTTGTGGTAAGCCACACGTTCTCGGTCAGAATAACAACAGCTAATGCTGTCACCTCAGTCTGTGAAACTCTTTATGGAGGCTGAGTGCTGGACTTTCAGCCTCTCCCCTCGGGCGCAGGCTGTCCTCAGCAAACTCTTGGAAACGTCGCTATTTATCTAAAGTTCCTGAAGTAATTTATAAAGGTAGTAAAGTGGAGATATCAATACACAAGGTTAAGCTAGTATTTTTAGAGGCATTGACTTATTCACACATCTGGTTCAGAACTTTATACCCCAAACCAGAAAAATCAGTCTCTCCACTTTTATGCAGAGTAGTTGACTTTCACAGGAATGTAAGTGTGTATTAGGAGCCTACATAATACAGCCTAGTATAGTGGCCCATATCTCCAACTGAAATAGCTTTCCTTTAATACTTTACCCATTGTCTTTTAGAGTCATTGCCTAAAGCCTTCAGCAAATTTTACCAGGTGTACAGAGCAGATTATACAAGCAAACCCCAGATAACTATACTCCTCTCACTGAAGGTTTTGCAGAATGTGTGCTTGGTTCCCAATGCACATATGAAACTGCAGGGTCAGATATTGCCATATACTGAAATAAATGGTTTTGCAATCCCCTTAGGGCTTTATGGCTTGGTGAGCAATGCTGAAGGAACAGCACCTGTAGCACCCACTGACTGGCTGAGGATGGAAGACTTTCATTCTGTATTGGATGTTAGTCTGCTGGGATTGATTGAAATCACACTCAAGCTTCTGCCACTTCTGAAAAAAGCCGAGGGAAGAGTAGTCAATTTAATTAATGCCAAAGGCCTCATGGCTTTTGTAGGGGGTGGCTACAGTCTGTCCAAATGGGGCATGGAAGCTTTCTCTGACACTTTACGGTGAGTAGCCAGAAACACATGCATGAGTCCAACATTCCAGATTCCAGATGTTCTAAGGAAGGGTGACTATATGTTTGCCCCTCTTGATTTCTCTCTGGAAATCTTGCCTGAAGAGGGAAAGGAAAATAAAAGGATGATGGTCACTTGTTTAGAATTTCAGTTCGCAGTCCTATGAACAGACCCACCAAGAAACTGCACTGAGAAAAATTTTCATATCCTAGACAAGTTGTTGGCATGCAGCTTTCAGACACGTGAATCCTCTGCACACATGGAAGTAAATCAACAGTATAGCATGGCTAGACACCCTAAGTTTCCTGGGCAACTTGTACTTCCCCATATATTTTGCTCTAATGCTTCACAATCTGACCTAGGTGATTTCTGACAGCAACCACATTACCAAAGTTACTTGTAACTTCAGAAAATTAAGTAGAGCACGTCTCAATGAAGCCAGTTGTGCTGTACTGCCTCTAGAAGGCTAAGACCCAGTCCAGTGAGTCAAGTCTTCACAAGGACTAGGAAAGGGCGTTTCAAACAATTATCAGCGCTTATATAAAGAAATAAAGATATAGAAACCATAGTTTAAATAAGCATAATTTAGAACATTAGCTGCCTGTGTCCCTCGAGCTGCCCAGCAAGACAAAGAGGCCATTTTCACCATAGAGAAGTTGTATTGCAACTCAAAATTACAAAGCCAGGCAACCAGAAAACACACTAACTTTTACTGCACTGTCATTTAATCATTTAACCATGCGATGGATAATATAGTTCTAATCCAATTGAAATTTTTTCTCACTTTTACTTTTTCCCAGAAACATTAATAATCTGTTCCTGCTGTAAAGTAAAATGATGCAACATTATTTGAAATAGTCAAAAGTTTTACTATAATGATACATGAAGTTGACTGCAGCATCCTTTGCGTCAGTCCAACATAAACCACACAGGGGGCTGTAAATCTACCTGACACTGTTTTTTTTTTGTCAGTTAATTGATGCGCTTTTATAGGACAGGTACACTGCTATGAAGCTAATTTGAACATCTCAAAATAGTTAAGGCATTTGAAGATAAGAATTGATCTCAAATACTCATTTGTGTGACAGACTTTCAACTTCCTTATGTTTAAGAGTTATGCCATTATTGGGTGGTTAGGGAGATTATTGGCTGTTTCTTTTTCTTCTAGGATAGAGATGCAGCATTTTGGAGTGAAAGTAAGCATTGTGGAGCATGGTTTCTTTAAGGCAGGAGTAGTTAATTCAGACATCATGGAGAAATACCTCTTCAGACGTTGGAACAGTCTGACTGCTGAGACCAGGAACTCCTATGGAGAAAAATACGTTGTTGAATGTAAGTAGAAAAGGGACTGCAAGAAAGTTCAGGGGGGTTATTTTCAACATGTATAAATACCTGAATTGAGGCTGTAAAGACAAAAGAGCTAAGCTCTTCTCAGTGATGTGCAGGGATAGGGCTTGAGGCAGCAGGCACACACTGAAACAAGCTGAGCTCGGCTGCCCGCGGGAGGCTCACACAGCTGACCGGGGCAGGACCGAGCTTGTTGTGGGAGATTTAAAGGGCAGGAATTGCTGCTCGGAGCCCTTTGGAGCTGAGCTTGGCTGCTCGCGGGAGGCTCTCACAGCTGACCGGGGCGGGACCGAGCTCGTTGCGGGAGATTTAAACCACCCCAGGGAACGCTGCGAGTGGAGCGGGCACGGCAGTGCGGGCAGTGAGTGCAGGTAGGGCACAGCCCCCTGCTTTCTTTGCTTTCTTCTTTTTTTTTTTTTTTTTCCTTTCGGTTTTTGTTTTTTTTCCCCACTGCAACTCAGCTACACTCAGCAATGGTATCTGCCCGAGCTGCCGCTACCCGGAGGGGTGTTTTACCCCAGACAGAGCCCCCTGTGCAGGATGCAGCTGCTCAGGTCACTGAGCACAGACAGCCTCGGAGAGCAGTGCGAGTCACACCTGAGTACGGTGTGAGCAGGTGAAAGATTTGCTGTGCCTGGAGGCAGAGCTAAAGGAAGAAGTAGAGAGACTAAGAAGC